GATATATTGACTTTCAATATCTGCCAATTCCTGATATGAACAGATACCAGTGAAGGCACTAAAGAATAATGTTCTTTTCTCAAAGAACAGCTCACTCATTATAAATCAGATCCATTTGTTTTTAAACGGCAACTCTGTAACTACAGAACAATGTTTGAGTTAAAGTGAATACACATAAATAAATGCGCTAGAATCAGCAGCATTCTTGCATCTCAAATGCATTGTCACACCCCCTACTTGCAACAGTAGCCATACATTTTTAAACAAGACTAAAAAAAAATGAGACGTAAATTACCCGATGTTAGTAAACCGTATATGTTAAAAATTAATGTCAAGTCAAAAAAAAGCAATAAAGACCAAAAGAGCTTTAGGTGTTTTGACTTTACCGGCTTGAGATCCAGGATGTAGGACATTGCAGACTTCACGCTGCATTTTGCCCATCCCTTGCCTCTTCCTGATGCGGTTGGAGGAAGAAGGTGCTCAGACTCTGGAGCGCTTGAAGGAACGCGACTCTGCAAAATATTACACAGTTTTTGTTTCAATGCACATTTTTTTGCCGTTTTAACAAGAACCTATATATTGTTTATATTAGTTCCCCTGTTTAACATTTGAGAGCAAAGTAGCTAAAATAATTTTCTGTCAACATAACTGGTTTAAAGGGACAACAAAGTGTCACCAAAGGAGCAACTGCAAACCTAGAAAGGCAGTACTCTTGTTCCACAAAACAACTCACCACTGGTTTCTTCAGAATCAGGCATGCCTTTTTTTTCCATAGTTGACAATTTGAGCAGTTTGGGAACAAATTGTGCTTCCCACTTGCAAGAGGAAGTTGTCTGCTTCCCAGGGAACAACTTCCCCAAATTCACTGGTCAATATGTAAACAAAAATTCATGGAAGCTCGTCTGTGCAAACATACAATAGCAATTTAAATGCCAAGACCTTATGAGCATTGTATAATTACAATAGTTTAACTATGTAATTGTACAACCCAAAGTGTTTGAGGCGATTAAGAGCCAGAGAAAGAGAATTTAGACAAATAAAGGCAACCTTGCTATATTAAGTTTTCTTAGAGACAAATTGTGAATTGATTGGACACTTTCAAATCTAAGTTTCCATCTCCATTTCAAATTCTCGTGTTACTATGCTTCCAGGGAACAACTTCCCAAATTATTGGTCAAGAAGATGTAAACAAACAAGCACAGCGTAGGTCAATAAAGGTGGATAGTGAGCGACAATTTCCTGCATTGTTGGAGACTCTGTGAAATCCTAAAGCCTCCGACCTTGTGAATGTTTTATCCAAGCCATTTTGTTTGTTGCAATGTTCGCAGGGATGGGCTTGCTTCCTTTTAATAGCAGATGTCCACTCCAGGTAGCTCATGCCTCCTGCTTGGCCATGTGAAGGGTAACTATGACATCTGTGCGGGTACACTACAACCAAACTCTTTTCCGGGTATCGCCGCTGATCTTGTTGAAGACTTCTGCGGAGGTTCTTCCGCCTCATTTCAATAAACCCCACAAGGAAATGGGTCAAAGAAATGCTCCTAGACAATTAAAAAAAACGAAAGTCTATTACATGTGTATATATTATACACACACACACACGTGTGTGTATTTACACACACAGTATATTTATACTCAGACAACATCCTTCATTTTTTCCTGGTAGTTTATCTTTATGCGAGGGAAAGACTTACTATATTCTAGCCAGAAGTATTTTGTCATCCTTTGAGGGATAGCTAAATAACAGGGGCACAAAAGTGGATTAAACGGTATGATACTTTTAATATAGATACCATAACTGTAATCTTATCGTAACAACTCTGATTAACAAAAGGTGCTGACATATTCAATGATGTAAATTGCATTATAATACTCAGGCGTAAATGAGTTTCTTTTTAAGAAACAAAAATGCAATAAGTCAACAGTTCAGGTCAAATGACTTAATTCTGTTAACTTTCATAATGGCATGACTTAGTGAAATTGACAAATGTAGAAATTGCTTATTTGGTTTTTGTCATTACAATCAAAGGCATCATGTATCGCGTTCTGTTGTGAACCAATTTTTGTCCATCAAAATTGTTGATGTGAAAGGCCTAGTTACAGTACATTCCAACCAAGCAGAGCCACACCGGAGTACTCCACCCATTTCCTCAAGACTTGCTTCTTAATTGAGAAGTGGAGGGGGTCTGTGTGCCCCTGCTCCCGTAGGTTGAAATGAAAGCATCAGTCAGACGTTTGGTCCTTGCAGTGTGTGTACAGTGGAGTTAACTGAGTAGTTTGAAATACTTACAATCCCTTCTGTTCCACGAGGATGGGCTCACAGATACTTTAACAAGCAGTTTTTGTGACGTGGATGGAAAGAGCTGCTGATGATGCGAACTCCAAGAGGAGATTTGGGGCTTTTTCCTTTCAACTGTTTTCTCAATACTATCATTGCGTGGCTGTGGTTCTTCTGCAAAAAAACAAGAAATCCATGAATACAGGTGAATGCTGAAACATTTGAAAATCATGAAAAATGTAATTATGTTGGGAAACTATTACATAAAAAGAAGGCCCAATACATTTTTTCTTCTTTTTTTAAAGTCAGATGGAGGAGAATCGACAATGGAAAAAATGGACAAGGAGATCTGAAAAAGGAATTTACCTTTGCAACTATATTACAGAAAGATTCAGGACCAAGACCAGAGTCAGGACAAAGACTGATTTGTGGTTTTTACAAGCAAAATTACTGCAAGTTAGAATTAAAGGCATAAATAATTGGCACTAGTCTCTTTTACCATAAGTCCATAATGTATATTCACTTCACATTTTAAGTTGTTAACAGGATTGTACTTTGACAACACTATTAAAATTACTTCAGGTTTCATGCATTCACTACAATATAATGTATCACATGTAAACAAAGACATACTTGACAGTCCAACTGAGATGAAGCAATGGCTCCAATTGAAGTTGACCCCGAAGGGCTGGTTCTTAGGAAGGAAAAACAGTAAAACAGATTAAAAAGTTGTGCGTTTTACAATAAGAAATAAAAAATATTACCCAATAGTGTGAACATTACAAACCTGATATCCGAAGTGTTATGATTTAAATGAATTCTGTATTTGTCAAGGTTTGGACAAGTACATTTGACATCCGCATCAGTAAATCCTTAAAATCTTCACTGTTATTTGAAGCAGAATGAAGTCGGCTTTGTCTTGTTTAAAAAAGCTTGTGTTTTTATCAATCAGTTCTTTAATTGTTTGATGATTGGTAAACACTCTTTTGGCAATCTCTTTGTCATCCAGCACAATAGTCAAAGAGTATCGGGGGATTCTTCCTCCATCTGACAGGGAAAAAAAGAACAAAATAAAAAATATATGTATTTATTCTTACCTGTCAAACTGCACACACCCGCCTAAATTAAGCAATCTTTTAATCAAATGCTAAATTATCATGTATGTAGTATAGCTATTTAAGATTACAGATCATGAAATTCATAAACACGGGTTATCTAAAATATTGAGTTTTTAAAAAGGCTCGTTAAAATTACTAGACTTGTGGAAAATTGTAAGCATAATCAAACATACTGCGAGCAAGAATTAATTACCATCCGTAGTTCTTGTATGCAATAAAACCGGCTCTCAGTTTACTCGTGCTTCCGCATCAGCCTTCAAAACTCAAACGCTAGCCTCCTGCTTCCATGACAGGGGTGAACACCGCACTCACCTCAAATATCACATATAAAGCCAGCATTGGCCCCCATTTCACATTTACGGTCCTCTTTATGAGCATTTGCTAACTGTGTGCCCGCACAACTCAATGAATCTATTGGATGCTTTGGGTTAGCACTACCACATCCGAGTGGTCCTAACCTGGAAAAACAGAGCTTTACGAAGCTGGGGGTCAACTTCGCGCATTATTGATAAATGATCTGTCAGATCAGTTATTTATCCCACATATCTTGATCGATGACATCGTTTAAGTCTTATTTTGTTGACGCGGGCAGCCCAGATCCATGGGGCAGCCTCGCTCCGGTCCGGTTTTCAAAAGACAGATGAGTGTAAATGGAGGCGGACTTTGCCGCTGCTCTGAACCTGATTGGCTGTTAGGTCAACACAGTGATGTGTAGCTCTTGTGACGGTTATGATTCGCATTTTTTACACAATTTTCAAATATTTTAACACAACATGTGTTAAAACAGTAGTAACACATAACATGTGTTAATAATTAACACATCATTTCTTAGAGTGCAGCTGCTCCCGGGGCCAGAGCGGAGGATGTAACGTAACGTTCGGTTTATCAAAACATATCACAATATTTTTTCAGACATTAAAGACAAGATGTTATATAATAATTGTTTAATGAAAAAACAATTTTGCCACAAGCAACCAAAAGATGTGCAACCAAAATTGCCTCAGACAAGAATCGAACATTCACATGCACGGCCCAGCCTCGGCCAGGGATAGGCCTGGGTAGGCCGGTGCCTACCAGTTTTTTTCTTGGCCTTCCCAATTTTGTTCTTCGCCTCTCAAGTCATTAGACTTTTTTGTTTAAAGTCATAATTTCAATATTTTTTATTTTTATACACACTATTAACTAAATGTTGCGTTCTAATCTTTTTTTAGAAAATATAACCCCCTGAGCGTCATCACGTTCCTACGTTGCTTCAAATATAGTTCCGTTTATTGGCTGAACAATTTTGTCCAATAAGCTGCATGATCATATCACACAGCGCGAAGCTCGTTCCCCGAGAACAACAGCTATTCCTCCTCTTAAGGACTGACAATGCTCTCAAAACATTCACAACAGAGTATCCTTTTTCATTTTATTTTTAAGAAAGTTCAGCGTGAGGTGGCCCGTAGGTCCCAGAGGAGGAGAGCGCAGTCAGGCCAGGCTCGCCTCGCACATCTTAAAGCTGCTTTCAATATCTTTTCAAATCTGGTTTCCTTTTCTCCATAGCATGTCTGTAACAAAAGTTCTCAACGCATGCATGTGGTCTGCATCCTGGTCTGCCGCTGATGGTCAAAGGCTCCTCTGGTCCCGGTCTGGTCCTCACCGTGTCTGCGATCGGAGCCACAGACTCTGCAGAGAAGAACAAAGAACACAGCGCCAAGATATTCAACTTCCTCACCAGCGAACTGCAACTGCACGAGGACAGGTGAGGGAGGGGAGGAGGGGGGAGGGGAGGACAGGTGAGGGAGGGGAGGGGAGAGAGGCAGGGGGGGAGGGACAGGTGAGAGAGGGCAGGAGGGGGAGAGGAGGGGTAAAGGGGATGGGGGGGAGGAGGAGGACAGGTGAGAGAGATGGAAGAAGAAAGGGGTGAGGGGAGGAAAGTAGGGAGAGAGGAGAAGGAGGAGATGGGGGGGTGGAAGCACTTTGGGCATCTGGTGTCGTAATTGTGCCTGACCCAGGATTGAGGCTGTAGACCCGGTACTGAGGCTGTAGACCCGGTACTGAGGCTGTAGACCCGGTACTGAGGCTGTAGACCCGGTACTGAGGCTGCAGACCCGGGACTGAGGCTGTAGACCCGGTACTGAGGCTGTAGACCTGGGACTGAGGTTGTAGACCCGGGACTGAGGCTGCAGACCCGGTACTGAGGCTGCAGACCCGGTACTGAGGCTGCAGACCCGGTACTGAGGCTGTAGACCCGGGACTGAGGCTGTAGACCCGGGACTGAGGCTGTAGACCCGGGACTGAGGCTGTAGACCCGGGACTGAGGCTGCAGACCCGGTACTGAGGCTGCAGACCCGGTACTGAGGCTGTAGACCCGGTACTGAGGCTGTAGACCCGGGACTGAGGCTGCAGACCCGGTACTGAGGCTGTAGACCCGGTACTGAGGCTGCAGACCCGGTACTGAGGCTGCAGACCCGGGACTGAGGCTGCAGACCCGGTACTGAGGCTGTAGACCCGGGACTGAGGCTGTAGACCTGGGACTGAGGCTGCAGACCCGGTACTGAGGCTGTAGACCCGGGACTGAGGCTGTAGACCCGGGACTGAGGCTGTAGACCCGGGACTGAGGCTGTAGACCCGGGACTGAGGCTGCAGACCCGGGACTGAGGCTGCAGACCCGGGACTGAGGCTGTTGTTTTGTGTGTTGCAGGATTGGGATCGTGTTCACTGCTCTTCAGCCCCACCAAGTGGGCAAGAAGGGAACTGTCATGACTTTCTTGATGTGACTCGGCTCCAGACTGTGAAGAGACTGAATCTGGAAATGCAGCGTTCTCACAGCGTTTACCGGAGCACGATACGTCTCCTTTAAACATTTCAATATTTAAGGGCTTTTTTAACTTTTAACAGTATTTTAGTGTTTAGTGCAATAACCACAGAGCAGCAGCAGATCAAAGGGACGTGACTGTGAAATGATGAAGACGATGGTTTTGTTGAATTGGACCAAAGCAGAGTTTGGATCTGTTCAGTTTGGAGCCTCTGACAAAGTGCCAAATAAAACATTTACTGCAGCTTCGTTCACTTCTTATCTCTGTTATGATGCAACATAAATGGGAGAAACTAACTCATGGCTCTCACACAGTGGAGCAGGTGAGGACCATGACTGTCGCCCCCTGCTGGACACTAGCTGGTCTGGAGAGCAGCTTCAGCGACAGACTGCTCCACCCTCGCTGTGTGATGGAGAGGTTCTGGTCTTTATTCCAGCCGCTACATCACAGTATTTTTCATTAAAGCCGGGATACGTAACTTTAAAACCACAAAATAAAGAATAAAATGTTAATGCATCAGTTTGATATAGCGCTTTTCTGGACACTAACACACTTCACATTATTCATTCACTCCAAACACGATGGTGATAAACTGAAGCCATAGCCGCCCTGGGGCATACTGACAGAAACAAACCAGTCCATCGTCTCCTCCCACCACCAACCGTTCACACACATTCTAATGTGGGGGAAGTGTCTTGCCTAAGGACATAACTGCCGTTACCCCACTGTGGCACCTGGTGTTTTTCCAGAGGTCTCCCATCACAGCACTAACCAGAACCTGCCCTGCTTAGCTTCAGAAGTCTGACGGGATCTGGCTTCTCACCTGCAGGGGGCGTCCATCCAGTTGCTTTTATCACTAGTCTCATCTCTGTCTCTGTCACTTCTGTAGATCAGATTTTTCAGACAGAACAGTTAAATAAAGAGGACCACCCTCTCTCAGCCAATCAGCTCTCAGACTAAAGAGTCAAATAGTGACTCACAGGGATCTTACTTATGCAAAAGATCTGTTTTCTGATGAGAGGAAGACAGAATGTTGATCGGCTGATTCAGTCACATCTACAGAGAGACCAGAGAGAGACCAGAGAGAGACTAGAGAGAGACCAGAGAGAGACTAGAGAGAGACCAGAGAGAGACCAGAGAGAGACCAGAGAGAGACCAGAGAGAGACTAGAGAGAGACCAGAGAGAGACTAGAGAGAGACCAGAGAGAGACCAGAGATAGACCAGAGAGAGACTAGAGACCAGAGAGAGACCAGAGATAGACCAGAGAGAGACTAGAGACCAGAGAGAGACCAGAGATAGACCAGAGAGAGACTAGAGACCAGAGAGAGACCAGAGATAGACCAGAGAGAGACTAGAGACCAGAGAGAGACCAGAGATAGACCAGAGAGAGACTAGAGAGAGACCAGAGAGAGACTAGAGAGAGACCAGAGAGAGACCAGAAAGAGACTAGAGAGAGACTAGAGAGAGAGACCAGAGAGAGAGACCAGAGAGAGAGACCAGAAAGAGACCAGAGAGAGACCTGAGAGACCATTCGTCCCACAGTGGGGAAATGTCAGTGTTGCATCACATGTTATAGAGCAGTAGGAAAGAGGAGCACACGGCACAAGTGAACAATAGCTATTCTACTTAAATATATTATCCATCCATCCATCTTCTTCCCCTTAATCCATTTCTGGGTCGGGGGGTGTCCACAGAGCACCAGCCCCTCACTGATCCTCCTGCAGTTGCCGATGTTTAGTACGAAATATAACTTCAAAAAAGAGACAATTTGTGATAATAGTCAATGTCTTTAATTCTTCCAGGTTTATGACCTGAACATTTGTTTGTATGAATAAAAATACCGTAAAATGACAAACACGAGTCATGAGCCCTTTTAGATGGCTAACATATTAAACGTCAGAACACAGTATTTTTGGCCTCTGTCCCATGTTTAGACCAACATCTTCAGAATGTTGTGATAAAGTTCAGTCCTGGCTCAGTCCTGGTTCAGTCCTGGCTCAGTCCTGGTTCACAGCAGTTTATTAGACCAAAGGGAAGTGCATAGTTCTGTTTTAAAACATGACTCTCCAACACTATCTCTTGGGCCAAACGTGCATAATTTCTGACACGGTGAATTTAAGTCCCCCAGCTTTAATTCTGCACTCTGTTTATTGAGAATGAGGAGTCACGTGATAATTTGGGCGGGGTCTAATCCGGTCGGCCATGTTGATAGGATCCTCTATCGGTTGCCAGGGGCAACGCCACTAACGCTCAATATATAGCTACAGTCTATGCTAACGCTCCAGAGGTCTTTAACTTGAGCGCGTTTATTATTTTGGCAGTAGATACATCTACGATTACAACACTAGCAAGACAGTTAATGGAGAAAGTGAAGGCGAAAGGAAATGGACCGTACAGGGAAAAGCAAAACAACGTTATTTGGAGAAGCTCTCAGACATACAACAGGTAGACCCATACGAGCTTCCTGCAGCGGAGTGGCAAAAATACCTTGACTTTTTGCCTCCGTGCACGTACATGGATATAGTGAATTACCTTGTTTTCGGTGTTAGTTATTATACAATGCAGGAGTTTAGAAGTCACAAGTCACTGGAGAGTTACGAGGCTTTCTGCTGTGGTTGGGTGCAGGACCTGGCCATCTACAAGCCTCCAGGCGGTGAAAACACTGTTGTACTTGCACTATCAGCAGTATTACTATTTTATTATTATGTTGTCCGTCTTTTCATGCTGAAATATTTATACGTTGACACCACACGTTCTTTTCTGAAGCCGAATAGTGCCTATTCAGCTTAAGAAAAGAACGTGTGCATTCAAAGTATAAATATTTCCAGCATGTAAACATAAACAACATAATAATGAAATACTATAATTAGTGCAAAAGAACAAAAAACATACAAAAAAACCCCCATTTTTTTATTGTTTGGATGTTGTTTGTTCTTTTGCACTAATAACAGTATTATTATTACTTATGTTGTTTATGTTTACATGCTGGAAATATTTATACTTTTAATGCACACGTTCTTTTCCTGAGCCAAATAGTGTTTTTTTGTTGGTATGTTTGGTTCTTTTGCACTATCAGCAGTGTTACTATTTTATTATTATGTTGTCCGTCTTTTCATGCTGAAATATTTATACGTTGACTGCACACGTTCTTTTGCACTGTTAACTTTTCCAAGAGATTACACCCCCCCCTCCAAAAAAATGTTAATTTTTCAATAAATATTGCTTTGCCACATGAAGTTGTTTCAAACATTTATTTCAAAGAAATTAAAAAGGCAAGGCAAGTTTATTTGTACAGCACAATGTTACAAAACAATTCAAAGTACTTTAAATAAAAAATTAAGAAGCATTACAGCTGGGTGCAGAAGAAGCATTAAAAAGTAACAGAATAAAAAGCATGATTTAAAATTAAAAACACAAATTCATAAGAAAAAGATAACAGACAAGTAATTCCAGCTTAAAAGAAGCCGTGCAGATTTGTACATTAGAATAAAACATATTCAAAAGCAGCTGAGAACAGGTGGGTCTTTAACCTGGATGTAAACAAACTGAGTGTTTCAGCTGATCTGAGGCTTTCTGGGAGTTTGTTCCAGACATGTGGAGCATAGAAGCTGAATGCAGCTTCTCCGTGTCTGGTTCTGACTCTGGACTCGGATCCAGATGACATGAGGGGTTCTGGTTGGTTCATAAGTTATGAACAAGGCACTCAAACAACACTTTTGCACATGTTCGTTAAGGCACAGCAAACAGTGACAATCTTATCTAAAGGCATTAGGTTTTCACCCTCACATTTGAGAAGCATATGCACAGGTACAGTTGAATGTAAGAATTTGAATTTGTTGCGCACAACACCAATCACCCTCTCAACGTGAATTCTGAGATGGAAGGTCTAATCTGAGGCGCATTACAGTCAATAGGACAAGCTGGAAGGGTGAGAGCTTCCTCATCCTTCCTTGAGGCAGCTGCTGGGCCGGCGATGGAGGCTGCTGGGCTTGGGCTGGCGATGGAGGCTGCTGGGCTTGGGCTGGAGGCTGCTGGGCTTGGGCTGGCGATGGAGGCTGCTGGGCTTGGGCTGGCGATGGAGGCTGCTGGGCTTGGGCTGGCGATGGAGGCTGCTGGGCTTGGGCTGGGAGTGATGACTGCTCCAGATGCTGGGTCCTGCGCTTTACTTGCCGCTGATATCGCGCTCCATCTGTTGCTTTAACATTATTGTGGCCTAACCGCAAGGATGGTGTCCAGTCAGGGTGATTCTCCAACATCTCATATGATGGTTTACCTAGAACAGAATAATGTATGTAGTCAATGCTTTAAACTGGCAACAAGGTAGCATAATGTCATGAACAGAATCTCAACTATTTTTAGCAATCTCATATAATGGTTTACTTACATCAGATTAATAAGATTATTAAACAATCTGGAATCTAAAGAAATATTAAACAAGAAGGTAACGCTATTCATGGTTTCATAAAAGGGCTCAGGGGGTAGTGGCAACACAAGACAAAAAAAAAGTTTGGGCACCACTGGTTTTAGAGAATTGACATAAGAGACAGAGACAAACACACTTTGAGTGCCCATATTCCACAACAAGGTTTTAGGATAATGAGCAGAAAATTAAATATTCTTAGATCGAAAGTAAGGTCCTTTCTTCTTATTGCAGCCAACCGAGCCATCCGGCGTCTCTTCGTCAGGTCAGACACCTGCGCTCCCTGATGTTGTATTTGGTGGCCTAAACAATTGTAAACCGTTGTTTCCTACGTTTTCCTTTCTTATTGTGTGAGGTACTGGAGCAGTTTTTCACACAGCAATGAGCTCCAGGCATGGTAAAACAGAAATAGCGATGACCTCCTTTGCTACCGAGTTAACAACAACAAGTGTTTGCCGCTGGGACCCTACCAACATGGCGGAGACGGGGAGGGGCTCTGTGCTATGACGTCAGCTCCTCACTCTCAATTGCCACTGGGCCAGAGGGCTTCGGGGCGGGTTGCGTAACAGGTCCAGGGGCGGGTCGCTTATCTGTGGGTGTAGTGGAAGTCGGGGTCTCTCTTCTCTTCCAGCAGAGACGGGGACAGGGCTCCAGGACTCACGGACAAACTTTAGCGTCAACTGCGCGAGACTTCAGCCGAGATCATGGAGCTTTTCCTGGACATGTTCTCGCAGCCGTGTCGCTCCGTGTTTATGTTCGCCAAGAAAAACAACATCCCTGTGGAGGTGCGGAACGTGTCCCTGATGAACGGTGAGAGAGACCACGGAGAGAGAGAGAGACCGGGGAGAGAGAGAGAGACCAGAGAGAGAGAGAGGAAGGGGAGAGAGTAGAAAGTGAGAGAGAGCAGAAGGGGAGAGACTAGAGAGAGAGAGAGTCCAGAGAGAGAGCAGAAGGGGAGAGACTAGAGAGAGCGAGAGACCAGAGAGAGAGCAGAAGGGGAGAGACTATAAGAGAGACAGAGAGACCAGAGAGAGAGAGAGAGGAAGGGGAGAGACTAGAAAGTGAGAGAGAGCAGAAGGGGAGAGACTAGAGAGAGAGAGGGTCCAGACAGAGAGCAGAAGGGGAGAGACTAGAGAGAGAGAGAGTCCAGAGAGAGAGCAGAAGGGGAGAGACTAGAGAGAGAGAGAGAGCAGAAGGGGAGAGACTAAAGAGAGCGAGAGACCAGAGAGAGAGCAGAAGGGGAGAGACTATAAGAGAGAGAGAGACAGAGAGACCAGAGAGAGAGAGAGAGGAAGGGGAGAGACTAGAAAGTGAGAGAGAGCAGAAGGGGAGAGACTAGAGAGAGAGAGGGTCCAGACAGAGAGCAGAAGGGGAGAGACTAGAGAGAGAGAGAGTCCAGAGAGAGAGCAGAAGGGGAGAGACTAGAGAGAGAGAGAGAGCAGAAGGGGAGAGACTAAAGAGAGCGAGAGACCAGACAGAGAGCAGAAGGGGAGAGACTAGAGAGAGAGAGAGTCCAGAGAGAGAGCAGAAGGGGAGAGACTAGAGAGAGAGAGAGAGCAGAAGGGGAGAGACTAGAGAGAGAGAGAGACCAGAGAGAGAGCAGAAGGGGAGAGACTAGAGAGAGCGAGAGACCAGAGAGAGAGCAGAAGGGGAGAGACTAGAGAGAGCGAGAGACCAGCGAGAGAGCAGAAGGGGAGAGACTAGAGAGAGAGAGAGAGCAGAAGGGGAGAGAGACTAGAGAGAGAGAGAGACCAGAGAGAGAGCAGAAGGGGAGAGACTAGAGAGAGCGAGAGACCAGCGAGAGAGCAGAAGGGGAGAGACTATAAGAGAGAGACCACAGAGATACCAGCTAGAGACGAGAGAGAGATACCAGCTAGAGACCAGAGAGAGATTAGAGAGCCAAGAGAAAGAGAGACTATAGGGTGAGAGACTAGAGAGAGAGTGAGAGAACTCAGGGAGAGAGCAGAGAGAGATGATGTCATTAAGGGATTTGGGGTGAGGCTGGATGGACTTTAGAACTCAAATTACAGACACAGAAGAACCATGAAAAACCTACACAGATCTGGTTGAGAAACCAGAGAGAGAGAGACCAGAGAGAGACCAGAGAGCGAGACCAGAGAGCGAGACCAGAGAGCGAGACCAGAGAGCGAGACCAGAGAGCGAGACCAGAGAGCGAGACCAGAAAGAGGGTGACCAGGCAAAGAGAGACTAGAGAGAGAGACCTTGTTTTGGCTCAAAAGCTAACGCCATCTAAACAAATGCCCAAATAAGGAATATTAATGGAATTGTAACTTATTGTTGTGTTTGTGTTTTCAGGGGAACAGTTCTCGGAGGAGTTTGGAAAAGTCAACCCCATCCGGAAAGTGCCAGCTCTCAGAGACGGAGACTTCAGCATGGGAGAGAGGTGAGGCTTAACTGTTCTCTGTGGAGAGGGAGCAGCGTCTGCAGTCAGAGCTCTCCATTCACTGCTCAGTCTTTGTCCTCTCCCTCCCTGTGTCTCTCAGCTGGTCTGAGAACGCCTTAGGATTCACGAGAGACCAGAGTGAGAGGCCAGAGTGAGAGACCAGAGTGAGAGACCAGAGTGAGAGACCAGAGTGAGAGGCCAGATTGAGAGACCAGAGTGAGAGGCCAGAGTGAGAGGCCAGAGTGAGAGACCAGAGTGAGAGACCAGAGTGAGAGACCAGAGTGAGAGGCCAGAGTGAGAGGCCAGAGTGAGAGACCAGAGTGAGAGACCAAAGTGAGAGACCAGAGTGAGAGGCCAGAGTGAGAGACCAAAGTGAGAGACCAGAGTGAGAGACCAGAGTGAGAGACCAGAGTGAGAGACCAGAGTGAGAGACCAGAGTGAGAGACCAGAGTGAGAGACCAGAGTTAGAGACCAGAGTGAGAGACCAGAGTGAGAGGCCAGAGTGAGAGGCCAGAGTGAGAGGCCAAAGTGAGAGGCCAGAGTGAGAGGCCAAAGTGAGAGACCAGAGTGAGAGACCAGAGTGAGAGACCAGAGTGAGAGACCAGAGTGAGAGACCAGAGTGAGAGACCAGAGTGAGAGACCAGAGTGAGAGACCAGAGTGAGAGGCCAGAGTGAGAGGCCAGAGTGAGAGACCAGAGTGAAAGGCCAGAGTGAGAGACCAGAGTGAAAGGCCAGAGTGAGAGGCCAGAGTGAGAGGCCAGAGTGAGAGGCCAGAGTGAGAGACCAGAGAGAGAGACCAGAGTGAGAGACCAGAGTGAGAGACCAGAGAGAGAGACCAGAGTGAGAGACCAGAGAGAGACCAGAGAGAGAGACCAGAGAGAGACCAGAGAGAGAGACCAGAGAGAGAGGCCAGAGTGAGAGGCCAGAGTGAGAGGCCAGAGTGAGAGGCCAGAGTGAGAGGCCAGAGTGAGAGGCCAGAGTGAGAGGCCAGAGTGAAAGGCCAGAGTGAGAGGCCAGAGTGAGAGACCAAAGTGAGAGGCCAGAGGGCGAGACCAGAGGGCGCGACCAGAGTGATATACCAGAGTGATATACCAGAGTGAGAGACCAGAGTGAGAGACCAGAGTGAGAGACCAGAGTGAAAGGCCAGAGTGAGAGGCCAGAGTGAGAGGCCAGAGGGCGAGACCAGAGTGAGAGGCCAGAGTGAGAGGCCAGAGTGAGAGGCCAGAGTGAGAGGCCAGAGTGAGAGGCCAGAGTGAGAGGCCAGAGTGAGAGGCCAGAGTGAGAGGCCAGAGTGAGAGACCAGAGTGAGAGACCAGAGTGAGAGACCAGAGTGAGAGACCAGAGTGAGAGGCCAGAAGGCGCAACCAGAGTGAGAGGCCAGAGTGAGAGGCCAAAGTGAGAGACCAGAGTGAGAGGCCAGAGTGAGAGGCCAGAGTGAGAGACCAGAGTGAGAGACCAGAGTGAGAGACCAGAGTGAGAGACCAGAGTGAGAGACCAGAGTGAGAGACCAGAGTGAGAGACCAGAGTGAGAGACCAGAGTGAGAGACCAGAGTGAGAGACCAGAGTGAGAGACCAGAGTGAGAGGCCAGAGTGAGAGGCCAGAGTGAGAGGCCAGAGTGAGAGGCCAGAGTGAGAGGCCAGAGTGAGAGGCCAGAGGGCGAGGCCAGAGGGCGAGGCCAGAGTGAGAGGCCAGAGTGAGAGGCCAGAGTGAGAGGCCAGAGTGAGAGGCCAGAGGGCGAGGCCAGAGGGCGAGGCCAGAGGGCGAGGCCAGAGGGCGAGGCCAGAGGGCGAGACCAGAGGGCGAGACCAGAGGGCGAGACCAGAGGGCGAGAGACCAGAGCGAGAGACCAGAGCGCAAGAGACCAGAGCGCAAGAGACCAGAGCGCAAGAGACCAGAGTGAGAGACCAGAGAGATGGACTGGAGAGAGACTAGAGTAAATGATAAATATAGAGACCATAAAGAGACCAGAGAGAGAGAGAGAGAGGGACCAGAAGGGAGACTGAGACCAGAGAGAGAGACTCTCACTCTCTCTGGTCCCTTTCCTTGGTCCCTCTCTCTGCTATTTTTCTCTGGTCTCTCTCACTGCTCTCTCTCTGGTTTCTCTCCCTGCTCTCTCTCTCTCTGCTCTCTCTCTGGTCTCTCTCTCTGGTCTTTTTCTCCGCTCTCTCTCTCTGGTCTCTCTCTCTGGTGTCTCTCGCTGCTCTCTCTAGTCTCTCTCTCTGCTCTCTCTCTCTGTTCTTTTTCTCTGCTCTCTCTCTTTGGTCTCTCTCTCTGCTCTCTCTCTGCTCTCTCTCTCTGGTCTTTTTCTCTGGTCTCTCTCTCTGGTGCTCTCTCTCTGGTCTCTCTCTCTGGTCTCTCTCTCTCTGGTCTCTCTCTCTCTGCTCTCTCTCTCTGGTCTCTCCCTGGTAACTCCTGCTCTCTCTCTGGTCTCTCTCTCTGCTCTCTCTCTCTGGTCTCTCTCTCTCTGCTCTCTCTCTCTGGTCTCTCTCTCTCTGCTATCTCTCTCTGGTCTCTCCCTGGTAACTCCTGCTTTCTCGTTCCATAGTATCGCCATGATGCAGTACATGGTGGAGAAGTTCAAGACCCCGGATCACTGGTACCCTTCCGATCTGCAGCAGAGAGCGAGGGTCAACGAGTACCTGTGCTGGCAGCCCACCGGCATCCGGCTCCACGGCTCCAAGGTCTTCTGGCTCAAGGTGCGAGACCAGCTCCAATCAATCCATAGTTTATTTGTTTAGCACAATCCAAAGTGCTTCACAAGAACAATTTAAAAACTTTTCCATAAAAGTATTGGTGTTTTTTTTAAATTAGATTCTAGTCTGAGTTTAGTTTGGAACAGACAACATGAAACAAAAAACTGGCAAGTTTCACATCTTTGACGTTTCATGTTAATTATGTCTCTCTTTCTGGTCTCTTTCTAGTCTCTCTCTCTGGTCTTTCTCTGGTATCTCTTTGATCTCTGTGGTCTCTGTCTCTGGTCTCTCTCTGGTTTTCTTTGGTCTCTTTCTGGTCTTTCGAATCTCTCTCTGGTCTCTCTCTGGTCTCTCTCTCTGGTCTCTCTCTGGTCTCTCTCTGGTCTCTCTCTGGTCTCTCTCTGGTCTCTCTCTGGTCTCTCTCTGGTCTCTCTCCTGAGGCTAGCTTCATTACGTTAGCATGTTAGCATCATCCATCTATATACAGTCTACATTCAGCGATGGAGGTACGAACAAACAACTTATTACCGCTGCATTCAGTACAAGTTCAGGTCGCAAGGCGGGTTGAATGCCCAGTTGTTTGGACACGCCACCCCATGACACCAGTAGCGACGGAAACATTTCTTTTTTTGTTAAAATTCCTGTGTTTTTTTTTTTTTAGATTTGACATTTAAACTTGTGAATGAATGGGTTGTTCACATTTTTAGAAGGCCCTGTATCTTTTAGTCACGAGAAACAGCTGTGAGAGAGTAATGTCCACTGTCCTTTGTTTCCACTGGTCTGGAACCATGTGGGAATGAGAGACGTGGACGTTGAAGCTGTCAGACCAGAGTCACATGGTCAGATAAGAACAAAGGATCGCAACACTTCAGATCTGCTTTATAATGCATGAAATGTGACCCTGGTCTCTCTCTCTGAATTCTCTCTGGTCTCTCTCTCTCTCGTGTCTCTCTCTGGTCTCTCTCTCTGGTCTCTAGTCTGCTGTCTCGCTCTGGTCTCTCTTTCTGGTCTCTCTCTGGTCTCATTTGTCTCTGGTCTGTGTCTCTGGTCTCTCTCTGCTCTCTCTCTGGTCTCTCTCTCAGGTCTCTCTCTCTGGTCTCTAGTCTCTTGTCTCTCTCTCTGGTATCTCTCTGGTCTTGTAGGTCGCTTAGATCCCTGGTCTCTCTCTCTGGTTTTTCTCTGGTCTGTCTCTCTCTGTGTTCTCTCTCTCTGGTCCCTGGTCTCTCTAGTCTCTCTCTGGTCTCTCTGGTCCCGCTTGTCTCTGCTCTCTCTGGTTTTCCTGTTCTAATAGTCCAGTGCTGAGTGTTTCTGGTGTGTGTTGCTTGTAGCTGATGCTCCCCATAGTCTTCAAGCTGGACATACCAGAGGAGAAGATGTCTGGTGCTCTGGAGGACCTGGACTCGTCTCTGAAAACCATCGAGGACTCGTTCCTCCAGGACCGAGCCTTCATCGCCGGGGACCAGATCTCCATGGCCGACCTGGTGGCTGTGGTGGAGGTCATTCAGGTGAGAGACCCCCCTAGTCCGGGTTTAGTCCTGATTTAGTCCGGATTCATCCTGTTCAGACCCTTCTCTAGTATTGCTTCAGTCCTGCTCTAGACCTGCTTCAGTACCGTTTTAGTCCTGCTTTAGACCCTTCTCTAGACCTGTTCTAGACCCTTCTCTAGTCCTACTTCAGTCCTGCTTTAGACCCTTCTCTAGACCTATAGTTCTGCTTTAGTACTGCGTCAGTGCTGTTTTAGTCCTACTTTAGACCCTTCTCTAGACATGTTCTAGACCAGGGGTCGGGAACCCAAAATGTTCAAAGAGCCATAATTGACAAAAAAACTAAAAACAACATCTGTCTGGAGCCGCAAAAAAATAACAGCCTTGTATAAGGCTTTTATGAAGGTAACACAGGCTGCAAGATGTATTAGCTATATTAGCCTAATATCTAAATGACAAAGTAAAGGCTACAAATACATAATAATCATTCATGATTATCAAATGTGTATTTTCACTGCAGCGTGTCGCACCACGCGTGTCGTGAATGACGCAACACGGGACAACTCTGCTTTAGTTTAACTTCCATTTTTTTGCCTTCATACAATTATAGAAATACAGTAAATCAATCTGCTTTGGGCTCAGAGGTCACATACCTGCATCACTGTCTGCTCATATCCATCACGTCACAGGCTGAAGTTTGCTGGAGCTGAATTAAAATCCTTAATGGCCTTTTCTTTCACCGTCTTTGAGAAGGTTTTGAAGTCTGAAAATAGGTGCTCTGAATTTTTGATGAATGAATCCTTCACGTAATCACCGTTTACGTCGTTTTGCGCGTCATTGTTCCTTGTGTTGCAACAAAACTTTTCATTACAAACATGAAGCAGTCCTTCCTCATTGACTGAAAGAAAATGTTCATTGTCATTCTTAGTCCAGTCTTGTTATCGACTCTTTAGCTTTGGGATCCATGTGCACTTACAGTCTATGATGCTCACACGCCAGTTTGTTTACAGCAGCGGCCGCATGGGGCGGGGCCGCGTGACCGCGCGTCATAGAATATGACGCACTACGTTGACAGAAATGTTGAAATTAAATATTACTTATACACATTTTTACAGCATTGAAATACGTAAAGATTGTTTTTCCTTCTACTGAAACCACATTCAAACTAGAAATAAAATATAGCCCTCACACTCCATTTTCAGACATTTTTGAAAAGGCTCCAGGAGCCACTCCAGGAGCACTCAAGAGCCGCATGCGGCTCCGGAGCCGCGGGTTGCTGACCCCTGTTCTAGACCCTTCTCTAGACCTACTTCAGTCCTGCTTTAGACCCTTCTCTAGACCTACTTCAGTCCTGCTTTAGACCCTTCTCTAGACCTGCTTCAGTCCTGCTTTAGACCCTTCTCTAGACCTGCTTCAGTACTGCTTTAGACCCTTCTCTAGACTTGCTTCAGTCCTGCTTTAGACCCATTCATAGACCTGCTTCAGTCCTGTTTTAGACCCTTCTCTAGACCTGCTTCAGTTCTATTTTAGACCCTTCTCTAGACCTACTTCAGGCCTGCTTCAGTCCTGCTTTAGTCTTGCTTCAGTACTGTTTTAGTCCTACTTTAGACCTACGTTAGACCCTACTCTAGACCTGCTTCAGTCCTGCTTTAGACGATTGTTTAGTCCTACTTTAGTCCTGCTTTAGCCCTGCTTTAGTCCTGCGTCAGTAGTGTTTTAGACCTACTTTAGACCCTTCTATGGACCTGCTTCAGTCCTGCTTTAGACCCTTCTCTAGTCCTACTTCAGTCCTGCTTTAGACCCTTCTCTAGACCTACTTGAGTTCTATTTTAGACCCTTCTCTAGTCTTGCTTCAGTCCTACTTTAGACCCTTCTCTAGACCTGCTTCAGACCTGCTTTAGACCCTCCTGTGGCTCAGAGAATAGACTTTAAAACAGCTCTGCTTGTTACAAGTCTCTCCATGGCCTCGCACCAAAATATATTAGTGACATGTTAGTCCCATATGAACCAGCCCGGACTCTGAGGAGCACAGGGACTGGACTCCTGCTGGGACTCTGAGGAGCACAGGGACTGGACTCCTGTTAGTGCCCAGAGTCAGAACTAAACATGGGGAGGCTGCTTTTCAGATTCATGCTGCTAAAATCTGGAACAATCTTCCTGAAGATGTGAGACAGGCCTCCTCTCTGACAATGTTTAAAACCAGGTTAAAGACAGTTCTGTTTAGCTGTGCATACAACTGAGGGATTTTATATTTTTATCTTTCGTTTTAATGTTCTGTGATTATTTATGATTTTAATGCTATCTTGTTCAGCACTTTGAGTTGCCTTGTGTATGAATTGTGCTATACAAATAAACTTGCCTTGCCTTGCCTTGCCTTCTCTAGTCCTACTTCAATCCTGCTTTAGACCCTTCTTGCTTCAGTGCTGTTTTAGTCCTACTTTAGACCTACTTCAGACCCTTCTCTAGTCCTGCTTCAGTCCTGTTTTAGTCTCGCTTTGAAGAACAAAAGCACCAAACCGCTGACGAATGCAGTAAAGATGAGTTTCCTGCTGAGTAGCACTTCCTCAGAGAGCGCTGTGGAAAAGACTGTTGGAACTTTGACTTAGTAGTTTTGTGTGTCTGTGTTTGTGTTGTTTTGTGTGTCTGTGTTTGTGTAGTTTTGTGTGTCTGTGTTTGTGTTGTTTTGTGGATTTTTTGTGTGTCTGATTTTCCTCAGATCTTTTGTCTCCTATTGTCCTGTAATTGATAGTCCAGGGGTAATCCATCCTGATCCACATTCTGACTTGAGAGAGACCAGAGAGAGACCAGCGAGACCAGAGAGAGACCAGAGAGAGACCAGCGAGACCAGAGAGAGACCAGAGAGAGACCAGAGAGAGACCAGAGAGAGACCAGAGAGAGACCAGAGAGAGACCAGAGAGAGACCAGAAAGAGACCAGAGAGAGACCAGAGAGAGACCAGAGAGAGACCTGAGAGAGACCAGGGAGAGACCAGGGAGAGACCAGGGAGAGACCAGGGAGAGACCAGGGAGAGACCAGGGAGAGACCAGGGAGAGACCAGGGAGAGACCAGAGAGAGACCAGAGAGAGACCAGAGAGAGACCAGAGAGAGACCAGAAAGAGACCAGAGAGAGACCAGAGAGAGACCTGAGAGAGACCAGGGAGAGACCAGGGAGAGACCAGGGAGAGACCAGGGAGAGACCAGGGAGAGACCAGAGAGAGACCAGAGAGAGACCAGAGAGAGACCAGAGAGAGACCAGAGAGAGACCAGAGAGAGACCAGAGAGAGACCAGAGAGAGACCAGAGAGAGACCAGAGAGAGAGACCAGAGAGAGAGACCAGAGAGAGAGACCTGAGAGAGAGACCTGAGAGAGAGACCAGAGAGAGAGACCAGAGAGAGACCAGAGAGAGAGACCAGAGGGAGAGAGACTTTGGATTTTTCTTTGCATACTATGTGGTTATAACACTTCTCAGACCCGTCACTCTGGCTCTCTGTGCCTCCATAGCCGCTTGCAGCCGGCGTGGACGTGTTCAAAGACCGGCCAAAGCTCAGCGCGTGGAAGGAGCGCGTGGTGCAGGCCGTGGGGAAGGATCTGTTCGACGAGGCCCACGAGAAGATCATGACGGCCAGGGAAGCCATTAAGATGGTGGACCCCAGCAAGATGGAGGCGTTCAGGCCCCGGGTGATGCGCCTCATGCTCTGAGGGGGCCGGGCCAGAAGAAGGGGGTCCCAGGCCAAACCAGGTAGACCCAAAGGTGTGGTCATACTGGTTCACTTGGGACTACAACCATCAACCATGTGACCACTGTAAAGAAGAAGTGCTATGCATTGTTTTAGACCTGTTTTACTCCAGCTGGTCTCTCTCTATGGTCTCTCTCTGGTCGTCTCTGCTCTCTCTCTCAGGTCTCTCTCTGCTCTCTCTCTCTGGTCTCTCTCTCTGGTCTCTCTCTCTGGTCCCTCTCTCTGGTCTCTGGTCTCTCTCTGGTCTCTCTCAGGTCTCTGCTCTCTCTCTCAGGTCTCTCTCTGCTCTCTCTCTCTGGTCTCTCTCTCTGGTCCCTCTCTCTGGTCTCTCTCAGGTCTCTCTCTGCTCTCTCTCTCTGGTCTCTCTCTCTGGTCTCTCTCTCTGGTCCCTCTCTCTGGTCCCTCTCTGGTCTCTCTCAGGTCTCTCTGCTCTCTCTCTCAGGTCTCTACTCTCTGCTCTCTCTCTCTGGTCTCTCTCTCTGGTCCCTCTCTCTGGTCTCTCTGGTCTCTCTCAGGTCTCTCTGCTCTCTCTCTCAGGTCTCTCTCTGCTCTCTCTCTCTGGTCTCTCTCTCTGGTCTCTCTCTCTGGTCCCTCTCTCTGGTCTCTCTCTCTCTGGTCTCTCTCTGGTCTCTGGTGTCTCTCTCTGGTCTCTCTCTCTGGTCTCTCTCTGGTCTCTCTCTCTGGTCTCTCTCTCTCTGGTCTCTCACTCTCTGGTCTCTCTCTCTGGTACTGTATCTCTCTGCTCTGGTCTCTCTCTGGTCTCTCTCTCTGCTCTCTCTCTCTGGTCTCTCTCTGCTCTCTCTCTCTGCTCTCTCTTCTATCTTAGATGTTTAACAACATTATTCCATCTTGAAAACATGGACTGAAGTCTCATTTTTCTCGATCTCTGCTGTCGTCCAGATTCTGCACAAACTTCTCTGAAACTGAATGATAATAAAAACTACATTCTCTTTTTCACTATTTGAGACTTTGATTAAAAACAGCTTTTCTCCAGAACCCAAACATGTGTATTTGAATGTGAGGCTTACAGTTGGAGCAGCGTCTGCAGTCAGAGCTCTCGATTCACCTGGTCCTGGTCTGGTACCAGCCGAAAAGACGAGATCACAGGTACAAGAGGTCGGCCTGAGTTTCCTCTGCAGAGTGGAGCCCCTCAGTAATGGAAGTCAGTCATGTGGGAGGAGCTCAGGGTGGAGCCGCTGCTTCTTCACGTCAAGAGGCTATAGGCTCATGGGTCTCAGGATGAGATCAGCAGAATGCTCTTCGTCAAACTCAATACTCAACTTTAATAAAGTGAATAAATACATTCAAAACTCACACTGGTGTCTAAAAGTTTCTACAGTTTCAATTCTAAAAACCTCATATCAGTGATGAACAGACTGAAGGTAAAGTCCCTCAGACTCTTGGCCTGGACCAGTTCATGGCTGTGATCTCTGGATCTCTGGATATCTGAAACTATTTTGGATCCAATCCCAGCGAGGCTCTTCAAAGACACACTTCCTTTAATAATAGAGACGATCTTAAAGCAGCAGGAAGTGATTCGGTCGTTTTGTCAGCTTCTTCTCGCCCGAGCGAGTTAGACCCGGCCTCCTCCATCTACACCTGTGGACTGCGGATCCCTCTCTCTGTGGATCTGAGGTTTCTCACTTTTCTCCCACTGGGTTTTAGAGTTTTTCCTCTGATGCAGGAGTCTGTTGGACTGTTAGTGTCTAACAAGACTGTGATGATCCAGGACACTTCAACATTCTACAACATGTGTGACGTTTATCAACATGTATAACATTTATCAACATGTACAACATTTATCAACATGTATGACATTTATCAACATGTATGACATTTATCAACATGTGTGACATTTATCAACACGTGTGACATTTATCAACACGTGTAACATTTATCAACATGTATGACATTTATCAACACGTGTGACATTTATCAACACGTGTGACATTTATCAACACGTGTGACATTTATCAACATGTATGACATTTATCAACACGTGTGACATTTATCAACATGTGTGACATTTATCAACATGTGTGACATTTATCAACATGTGTGACATTTATCAACATGTGTGACGACATTTATCAACATGTGTGACATTTATCAACACGTGTGACATTTATCAACACGTGTGACATTTATCAAAACGTGTGACATTTATCAACATGTATGACATTTATCAACACGTGTGACATTTATCAACACGTGTGACATTTATCAACATGTGTTACATTTATCAACACGTGTGACATTTATCAACACGTGTGACATTTATCAACACGTGTGACATTTATCAACACGTGTGACATTTATCAACATGTGTTACATTTATCAACACGTGTGACATTTATCAACACGTGTGACATTTATCAACATGTGTGACATTTATCAACATGTATGACATTTATCAACACGTGTGACATTTATCAACACGTGTGACATTTATCAACATGTGTGACATTTATCAACACGTGTGACATTTATTAACATGTATGACATTTATCAACATGTATGACATTTATCAACATGTGTGAAATTTATCGACATGTGTGACATGTGTCAACATGTATGACATTTATCAACACGTGTGACATTTATCAACATGTGTGACATTTATCAACACGTATGACATATATCAACATGTGTGACATTTATCAACACGTGTGACATTTATCAACACGTGTGACATTTATCAACATGTGTGACATTTATTAACAAGTATGACATTTATCAACATGTATGACATTTATCAACACGTTTGACATTTATCAACATGTGTGAAATTTATCAACATGTATGACATTTATCAACATGTGTGACATTTATCAACATGTGTGACATTTATCAACATGTATGACATTTATCAACACGTGTGACATTTATCAACATGTATAACATTTATCAACACGTGTGACATTTATCAACATGTGTGAAATTTATCAACATGTATGACATTTATCAACATGTGTGACATTTATCAACACGTGTGACATTTATCAACATGTGTGAAATTTATCAACATGTATGACATTTATCAACATGTGTGAAATTTATCAACACGTGTGACATTTATCAACATGTATGACATTTATCAACACGTGTGACATTTATCAACACGTGTGACATTTATCAACACGTGTGACATTTATCAACACGTGTGACATTTTATCAACACGTATGACATTTATCACCACATGTGACATTTATCAACATGTATGACATTTATCAACACGTGTGACATTTATCAACACGTGTGACATTTATCAACATGTATGACATTTATCAACACGTGTGACATTTATCAACACGTATGACATTTATCACCACATGTGACATTTATCAACATGTGTGACATTTATCAACACGTGTGACATTTATCAACATGTATGACATTTATCAACACATGTGACATTTATCAACATGTATGACATTTATCAACACGTGTGACATTTATCAACATGTATGACATTTATCAACACGTGTGACATTTATCAAAATGTGTGACATTTATTAACATGTATGACATTTATCAACATATGTGACATTTATCGACATGTGTGACATGTGTCAACATGTATGCCATTTATCAACACGTGTGACATTTATCAACATGTGTGACATTTATCAACATGTGTGACATTTATCAACATGTATGACATTTATCAACACGTGTGACATTTATCAACATGTATAACATTTATCAACACGTGTGACATTTATCAACATGTGTGAAATTTATCAACATGTATGACATTTATCAACATGTGTGACATTTATCAACATGTGTGACATTTATTAACAAGTATGACATTTATCAACATGTGTGACATTTATCAACATGTATGACATTTATCAACATGTGTGACATTTATCAACATGTGTGACATTTATCAACATGTATGACATTTATCAACACGTGTGACATTTATCAACATGTATAACATTTATCAACACGTGTGACATTTATCAACATGTGTGAAATTTATCAACATGTATGACATTTATCAACATGTGTGACATTTATCAACACGTGTGACATTTATCAACATGTGTGAAATTTATCAACATGTATGACATTTATCAACATGTGTAAAATTTATCAACACGTGTGACATTTATCAACATGTATGACATTTATCAACACGTGTGACATTTATCAACACGTGTGACATTTATCAACACGTGTGACATTTATCAACACGTGTGACATTTATCAACACGTATGACATTTATCACCACATGTGACATTTATCAACATGTATGACATTTATCAACACGTGTGACATTTATCAACACGTGTGACATTTATCAACATGTATGACATTTATCAACACGTGTGACATTTATCAACACGTATGACATTTATCACCACATGTGACATTTATCAACATGTGTGACATTTATCAACACGTGTGACATTTATCAACATGTATGACATTTATCAACACATGTGACATTTATCAACATGTATGACATTTATCAACGCGTGTGACATTTATCAACATGTATGACATTTATCAACACGTGTGACATTTATCAACATGTGTGACATTTATTAACATGTATGACATTTATCAACATATGTGACATTTATCGACATGTGTGACATGTGTCAACATGTATGCCATTTATCAACACGTGTGACATTTATCAACATGTGTGACATTTATCAACACGTATGACATTTATCAACATGTGTGACATTTATCAACACGTGTGACATTTATCAACATGTATGACATTTATCAACATGTGTGAAATTTATCAACACGTGTGACATTTATCAACATGTATGACATTTATCAACACGTGTGACATTTATCAACACGTGTGACATTTATCAACATGTGTGAAATTTATCAACACGTGTGACATTTATCAACATGTATGACATTTATCAACACGTGTAACATTTATCAACACGTGTAACATTTATCAACATGTATGACATTTATC